GCATGTTCGCCGCTTTCTTCCCAAATTGGTATTGGTGAGTTACCATTACAATTATACACCCCAGCTCGGATAGGCGTTCAGAACTCTCTTCTCTGAAAGTGTAGTCATGTTGAAACGTACCTGCCGACTATCCTACTATATATAACCCGCTAAGTGCAACCGTTGGTGTATGTTGTGTTTGGTCGTAAATTCACAACTCCTATTTCGGTGAACTTAGAGCGTCCGAATTCGGTAGAAGTATAGGTGACAGGATGGGAACGCTGGTGCTAGGTGTCAGGGCTAGACTCCGCCCCCGAGGGGCGGGACGTGCACAAAAGCAATGTTTGAACGTGAATTCAGTACTCCTTTTCCCGTGGACAGGAGCGTTCGAATTCCGGAGTAGTACAGGCTCCTCAGCGCAAGTAATAACCATAACTTCCTATAAGACGCTTCTATACCTTCGATTTCATGAGAACCGTGCGAGTAACACACCTGGCGCTAGCGCTTCTGCCCTGTCCAATCCCACTATCTAGCTACATACAGGCCCATCCAACATCTTCGGTGTGAAAATCAGCTCAGTGGAACTGCTCACGTCGCTTACTTTTATTGTTTGGTGTGTTTGGTTTTTGTTTATCCGGTTTGTTTGTCTCCCTCTCGTCCTTAGATAAGAACTTTGGGCTGATCTTTATCCAAAATTTTTTGAGAGTAGTTAACTTATGTGCTTGACTACGAAGTACATATGTTGCCTTGAATGTACATTTTGCGAGTAGCTGAATCGGAGATCCCTCCGAAAGACGGCACAGGGCACTGAATCCGACATAATTCGTCAATGCAGTGAAGAACAGGGTGAGAACAGGTTGAGTCAAATATAGTGCGGGCAACAGGAGCAACAGGGGCCTGTGGGACAGTAATTGAGTTAACACAAGCTGAACTGTATCAAGTTCTGCATTTCCTTTTCGACAGAACACCTACAAGCAATTCTGTACGGTAATGCTCAGGAAACTTAATACCTAAAAGATATATACCATTCACTTCGTAATCATTTGCAACAGATTTGCCGGAATGCATCACTAGGTATTATATTGGGTTCAGGGAAATATCCCCACGATTAACCCATTCTTCCCACAGAGGGTTTAACGCATGCGGTACTTTCTATTTCACCACCGTTATCATCATAAACGTTATACTTTTATATTATTACTTGTACGATATACTTGCATACCTTGATATTACAAAGGAACATCAGTTCAAGTTTCGAAAAACTAAGGAAGCCGATCGTGAAAATTAGGAAGAGCGGAGGAAATAGTACTCACCCTTGAGATACACTCCTGGCACAAGAGTCATTCCGAGAAAAGCTAGAGCCTACTTCAACTATCAAGCCCTTCTGCAAAGACATGACCTTACCCTAATGAGAGCGTTACCGGGAACTGCATTATCCTCCTACTGACTAGCTTGGGGCTTTACTGTAAGTCTTTGATGGGACAAGATGGATTTTACCTACCCGACAAGCATCATAAACCGTACCAAGGAGATCAGTAAAGGCAGAAGCCCAAGGAAGGAAGGCATGCTGACCGGAAGCATTTGTTTGACTTAGGTTTGAGTTGGGCTTGAAGTTTGTTGAAATCATTTTTACCACCGTCATGTGAGCGAGTAGTTTACAAAGAATAATGACACTTATTCAAAAGAATTTTAGTGATACGATCAAAAGGTGAGGATTAAGAATTCTTCAAAAGATGAGATTGGTTGGAAAAATATCCGGAATGTTACATTGAAAACCAGTGAACCGACTGTCTCATAGAGGAACTGGCATCCAAGAAGGCACCTGTAGATAACTTCACAGAAGATTCGGCCTTCTTGTTAGCAGGATCATATAGAGCTTGAGCTTGGTACCGTTCCGGCTTTTTAGGACAGGCAAGACACATTGTGGTCAGTAATGAGCAGGGTGGGCTACGAAGGTCGAGATGCACCGTTTCAATGAAGTTCGTCTTCATTGGGTTCATTGTTTTACGTTCGTTGAATCAAAGAAAACCCTCGATATTGTCGAGGCATAATCGATTTCCGAAGCAGTGGCTGCCTGGGTATTCTTGCTCAAATACTTAAAAATGCTCCGTGCTACAACAAATTCATGCTTATTCCAAAGAGAAGTCATCGTGAACGTGAAGTTCGCCCTTCTTTAGGCCGATGCTATCTTGTGCAACCTTTGATTGGCGTTCTCGGTTTCGTGAAGAGTCATTAACGATGGAAAAACATTAGAATAAAATTGCACAGTCAGCACTCGTACCACCTCCACTTTGCAGATGGCATCGGGCTTGCAACAAAACCGAGCAGGTGAATCAATTGCGGAGTGAATTCGGTTTTCTGAAGAAGGAAGTGTTTATGAAAAAGGGATGATCTCCTGATGCTTTTCTATCTGAATATCCTGGCTGAATCTACCACGAAGCCGAGAAGACAACATGTTTAACAACCTGGCTTCGAAGCTAAGTAGAAGGGATCGAACGACGTGGGGGGTATTCGAGAATATAGAGGGAGTAATGAAAAAGACGAAGATTATCCGGCTCCGCGTTTATCCTCCCTGTTTCGACGTTCGCCTCGGGGACTTGAGCTCAGTGGAGATCAGGAACGGTGTCACTTTCGCTATGAAATCGAAGAACACGTGCCGGGCTCATTACTCAGCTTAGTCATGACCGTTGGATGAGAGCAGTTACTGACTGGACATCAAACGGCCGTTAGTTCGGCGGTTGGACCTCTTCACGAAGCTTTGAACGAGCTTTGTGAAGAGGTCCAACCGCCGAACCGTTTTGTGTTTATGCTTTAAAGCTTGCTTTGTGTTTTATGTCTGTGTGCTTTGTATCGATGCCCATGAGTAGGTGATACAACCGGAAGAAACTTCTGCAGAATTTTACAATTATCATAAAAACTATGGGCTTATTGGGGCTAGAGTCTGCTCAATGATAAGGCTCTATCACTCAACCACTTTATCATTGATTCGTGGATTTTGGTTAGAGATGCACGTACGATACGAGTAGAAAAACTTATCAGCATCGTTACGAAACTGCTGGAAAGTGATGATGCTCTCTATCAGTGTCCATTTTTAGCGGGATGTATAGAGCACAGTCTAATGAACTTTGTGATCCATGCGCTACCACGCTTTGAAAGCGTTAAATGGCACTAGTACAATATGCTTCCACGGAGGATTCTCTTTCCATGAAAAGTTTTTACCCTGTTGGTGATGAAGTTGAGTGGTGCAACCTAGACCGTAGATAGGGTACAAATCGCGGAACAAAAATTACCGGAATAGTCTGAGAGACGCAGGCGAATTCAGGAAATGGACTCCTTGTTTGTGCTGCGTTATGTCGATTTATACCTTTTATCTTCTAAAAGGGGTACCACCACGCATGCACGTGTGGAATTTTTGCCGGTAAGGCTGGTATCCTGCACATCAGTCGTACTCTAGTGACTGGCTAGTAACCAGATGCGGTTCAGGGCCCCCTCCAATAAATAAGCCCCTTGTAAAATCCAGGACAGCCTGGCCAGCTACTCGAAGCTTAGCCAGCGTCCGCGTCGTAGGCTGGCAAGCTACTCGTGTGTATCCATATCCCACAACAGTAATATAACCGGAGCTCATTCAATTGAACCTGAAGGAGCACTAAATACGGCAGCGTTAGATAGTAACGTCTCGAAGAAGCTGTTAGTGTGACGGCTTGCTTAGAAGGTCATTGTGTGACCACGTTGCTTTTGTAATCGCTTATTTTCAGCAAAGTTGAACGCATGGCGTACTCCGACAAGTCAATCCCGCGTTCAAATTTTGCACCCTGCTCTCGAGCCTTGCTGGGGCCAATGTACGTGAATCAAATCGTGCAGGAAATCGACAACAATCATTAGGAGCTATTCAATGAAAGATATCGCAGCGATAACAGAGTAATTGTGGTGCACACAAAAACAGTAGGATGGCTATAAAAGACTTATCAAATAACCATTTGTGTCAGCAGAACGGCGTATTGCACCTCGACTGTTACTTAGCCTATTACTTATGCCTACCCTGTCTGCCTGTGCAAAACCTCTTGAGCTAGACCCAGTTCATCCGATGTAAAGCGCTTCTTAGGCAAACGACTAGTGTTGACTACTTCGTCCTTTTTACACTCCTAACCAGGCCGGAATTCACAATTTTTCCCGAAGATTCACCGCTTTTGCTGTTTAGCTGAAGGATATCTATACAGATGGTATCACCTCTTTCACCACTATAGTATTATTCTACTACCCTGTACCACAAAGTCCTTCTCGGTAAATGCTCGCCTTCCTAATGACAAAACCTGCATCCTGAGAACCAGGAGTAGTGGGATCCCGGAATGGCAGTCTGCTTCTTGAAGGTGCCCAACCCTGACTTCGAAGTAACCTTTTGGAAAAAAACAGTAGGTTCCCCTTAAACTCTATTGCATACGAGATACTGGATGCACATCGATGAGACCATGTAATATAAAACACAGAGGGTCTTAAAATTCGAGCTCGATTAGACCGCTAGGTTACACCTGTCTCACAACAGATTCCGAAAAAATGGTTACATCCTCTCACTAACTTTGAAAGGGGAACCAGCTGCCCAACCCAGCTCATTTGTAGAAAGAGCAAAACCAGGAGGATTGGGCGAAGGTGATTTTTCAGAGCAGCTACTTCCGCAACCTAAAACGGATAAGACAGAGATAATACTAAGTGAGCAGTTCAATTGGGACAAGTTAAAGTGAAGACGCAGTTAGAACGGGCACCGTACATGGTAGACAAGAAGCGCAATACAATGGAATCTGTAGTGGATGCCCTTTATTTCGGCCCGCCCATGAACTTATAACCTCATAGTAGGCTAGCTACCTGGATCAGTACTTTGAAATTAAAATACTAGCACGTTGATAATAACGTCATTAATTGCTTCTCTTGCTGAAAAGACTAGGAGAAACACTGAGTAGAGAATGATAGGCGTGGCTGTTCAGTTTATAAGTCAGATTTCTCCTTGAGCCAATAAATAATCATTTCAGGAAGCGCCTTCTCTGATCACCACAATGAAGCCCGATGGTGAGCTTAACTGGATTGCAATTCACTAATTTTTTTATTCAATCAGGAATAAATAGGTAGCTCACATACTACGACATTCGATTTACTATTATTCTTTCATGCTGCCCTTGGGCTATTATTCTACTTACTGATCTAATGTTATTTAGAAGCCCGTGCCGCTCTGAAACCCCATTATGAGGCCCTTCTGAAGAACATGAATGAAGGAAAATTCGAGGAGAATTTCAAGCATTTCCATCCTCATTGTGCGGTAGTACATAGAGGCAAAGGAGCTTATTACGGCAAAGAACGTAAGCACTAAACAATCATTGAAAATAGTATTACAAGCTTTTCACAGAAGATTTCCTTTGAGTCCTGGGACCAAACAATTATTCTCAGTAGCAAAGCTTAATCATGGTCGGGTAGCGTTTTAGTGTTAATCATATTTCTTCATATGAACGACAGCCACTGCAGACGAATCGCCTATCCCTGTCCCTCTTGAGCCTCCCTTATCCCCACTCACTCTTATAGTCTTGTCTAACTACAGTAGTTTCGCTGTCTTCATTTCTACGCACGATGTACCCCAAAAGGCGGTTAAAATCCGTTCAGTGGGCAACCGTCGCCTCAGCCAAGAAAAGAAATTTACTCCTTACAACCAAGCTGCATAAAGAAGTTAGTGAAGGCAACCCGGCCTTGTATACCTACTTTGTGAAGATACTTCAAGACTAGCCTACAAGTCGCTTTGATACATTTAGCTGCTATTACATTCATACAACTATGGGTGAGTGGGTGGTAGTACAGTTGCCTTAATCAACCTCGCATTCTAATCAGAAGTGTTTGGACCTGTGACGACCTATTCCTGATCTAATTGCACTGACTTGTCACTACCGAATCACTGTTCCCACTGTACTATACGACTCGGGTAAAATCCATCAAGTGGAGGAATATGGGGATATGAAAAGCTCGGCTCACTTGAGCTAAGTCAGATTTATCGAGCGCGAAGCTATGACTTGAAGTCAGAAAAAAGAGTATACCTGGCAGTGATTCTGAACCTAATGTCAGTAGTGAAACACCCTTTTCCTGAGCTGATTATCAGCAAAATAGAAGTGGTCCGTGAGTGGAAGAGAAAAAGTAGCTACTTAATGTGTTCATAGCCTTCATCCCAGTAATGACGTCTGAATCATTCAGAGATCGGAGCGATGTTGAAGAAACTTTTCGAGGAGCAACATCCTAAGAACATCAAGGTTTGTTATGTCTGATGTTTTATCATTTAGTAGTTTTTATGACGCTTTTTTTAGACTTCAATCAATGGAATTAATAACACTATGTTTTTGATTAAGCCTCTGCGATTGATAATAAATTCAACAGCTGACAAACTAGCGAAGTAGCCTTCTTAGGGTTTGGTAATTGGCAGTAATTGGTCACAAGCACGCTTTTTGTCTCACGGGCTATAAGTTAGAAAATTTGGCCTCTCCAACAGATGATGAATATTTTTGTCAATCTTGGAGGTTCAATCAAAATCTACCGCAGATATGTGCAACAGTGACTAACGGAGCATATCGTGGACTACGTAGAGTCAGTATTATTTGCAGAGGACGAACGAAGTCTATTGTGGCTGTGAATGTTGCATTTGTGTGTCATTTGACATTACTTTCGACTCACCGAAGGGGGCAAAAAAGGTTTCCGAACAACATATTTGGAAGAAACATGAGAACGATTGGAAGCTGTACCATGCCGAATACGATATGAACTGAATAGATCGATTCTTGATGTTTTTAGGCAATGAATAAACGGTGACTACTTTTTTTGCGACGATCAAGGTCTCTTAGAGTATAGCGGAAATATATTGTTATGCTACTACTGGAAGGCAGAAATTTTCACGCGTCACGCTTTGCTAGTGGATTTTGACCAGAGTATTGTACGGTTATGCCAGCATTCTTTATTGCGATGTTTCATTTCCAAAGCATGGTACTTTCGATCAAAGCCGTGAGGAAGCTTTACAGTTATAGTTCAACTTAAATGCTAAAGACTCTCGCTTCTTAATGGGAGCTTATAATTAGTTTGAATCTAAAGAATTCTTTTCTTGTACGGACAAAACCATATCTAGACCTTCGAGAGCCGGCAGACCGCGTTTGACATAGTCACGACAGAATAAGCGCATCAAGCGACTCTCAAAGACAGATTCCACTCCTACCGGCGTCGACATCGCAGCTGAGTAAAGCAACAGGGTTAATCAGAAGGCGTTCATCAAAAAATAGCTGACTAGCTCAGCTCAAAGAGTCGAAAGGCAAAAGTATGTGGAGTTTCCTCGCCGCAAATTGCACTGAACATCGCGATGAGGGCAAGCTTTTCTTNGCATCAAGCGACTCTCAAAGACAGATTCCACTCCTACCGGCGTCGACTTCGCAGCTCAGTAAAGCCACAGGGTTAATCAGAAGGCGTTCAGCAAAAAAATAGCTGACTACCTCAGCTCAAAGAGTCGAAAGGCAAAAGTATGTGAAGTTTCCTCGCTGCAGATTGCACTGAACATCGCGATGAGGGCAAGCTTTTCTTCACCGTTTCAAACAAGCTCGACCTCTTAGAATCCAAAGGTATCAAGTATGCGAGACAAGCCTCTGGTGAAAGATACAGTTGAAGACACATTAAACCCCCTATCAAGCGCAATGGAGGATTAGGAATGGGCTTTATTCTGGATTTTTAAGGCAGAATGACTGGTCAAATCTACAATGACATTGTTATCGAAAACATCTTGTAATGGGCGAAAGAGTGCATGCCAGCAGAATAGATTTTGCAGCAAGACCACGACTAAAAACACATTTCTTGTGCTGCGGAAACCACATTCCGGCAAGGAAGCATGAGACTTACGGACCGGTTGAGCCAATCTCCGCACTTGAATCCGATCGAAGACGTGCGCTCCTACACAATCTGTAGTTAGCGCGAAAGCGTATTTAGCGTGACTGTTCAGAAACGAGAGTACAGGTATATTCTTGCCGCAAGAGAATGGTCAGATCGCTTCTCGTATCCATTTTCCTTTTCTATCAAGGGCTAGGCTGAAATCTGGGTCATCGAAGCGAATTGCTTATTCTTACTAAAAATATTTATGAAAGACGTTTCTGAGAAGGTGCTGCTTAGGGTCAAAGATTATTCCAGGGGTACGGTTCGGAAACACACGCGGACTTGCCCACGAGTGGGAAAAGATGAAGACTGATGCTGAGATGATGTTCGTGCAATTTTATCTGTGCTTCCAACTGGCCTACAAACTTCCGGCCCTCAATCCACTAAGTCCATGGGTATGCTTTATACTGGAGAGACACGCTCGCGCTCCATAACACACCACTTTGCTGCTTTTAGGAAACGTTAAAAAAGTCCGGACCAGAGCTCCTCAAGAAACTCTGCGTGCCGCCCTCATGGAGTAGCCGAAGCATCTTTGAGCTGTGGCCGAAGCATGCCGTTTAACGAGGTCATCGGACAAAACGCGCTAAAACATCATGCCTACCATCATAACGGAAGAAATAAGAACTTAGGAATAAGAAGAATAGAATAAGTAAACAAATGACCAACTATGCACGTTTACAGAAGGATTGCGTTTACTAGGATCGAAAAATTTGAAGGTATTCTTATTTTGAACGTTTGACAAGTAAATCGTTGACCTATGAGGTGAATTCTCAATCTCGAAGGGACTTTTTTGCCATAGTGAAGAGATTTGCTCTATTCATGGTGAAGCCGTGGACTACTGCAAATTTATTTGGTCCATCTCAACAGAAAGGTACTGAAACGATTCTGCGTGTGCGAAGAGCTCTAATGGGGTCACGCGTGAATCGCGCGCCCCCCGTTGAAGAGCGGGGTATGAACATCCATGTAATTTAAGTTTTCTTTTATTAAGGCTCACCAAAGAACACTTCATAACTCTGTTCAGAGAAACGCTCGGCGAATTGGGAAAGCAGATTCGAGATCAGTGTCCAAAAATACGTCAGCAGTATAGGTTTTATTTCAAATGGCCTCTTCGACTTGGGATCCTTCCCTGATAAGATGGGAAGTTCGCAGCCTGTTTGAAAATGATCTTTGTTGTCACATACGTATTAGCTTGCTTTGTCCCAGCTGGTGTAGAACGAACTTGAGGAAGTCTTCAGCGTCAATCAATCCCGTATTTAGGATGCGGCTCCGCATTCCATTTCAATTCAAAATCATAGTAGCGTGTTGATCCAGCCTATATCATGGAGTACGGTGGCCAGCCCATGTATCCGATGTATAAGTCAGTGGTTCTATCCTCCTAGACGAGTTCGGTTCGATATAAAATGACCGATCCTGGAGGGATGGAAGACTTAATTGGCTCGTGCGTATATCTACCCGTGACCACGTGTGTGTGATGAAGCGTCACTTGCCAGTACACCATCTTCGCCCTACCACTACCTAGCCTGTACATTGGACAATTGAAAATAACTAAAAAAATAACAGTCAAGAATAATAATTGAATTGAATGGATAATTAAAAATAAGAAAAAAATCCATAGAATTTCATAAATTTTCGGCTGACGCAATAACTTTTTCTGCTCGATAAGATTCTCCAAGCTCGAAATACAAAGCAGTGAGCTAAAATTCTCTGGTACATCATTTACAAAGTCAGTTCCACCTCCATGACCGGCGAACCCGACCATAATACTATATTGCTGACAGCTACTCTAACTTTCAGCATCTCGAAGAGCTATTCTTTGTTACAATTCTTATTTATGCATTTGCGACTGCTTATTATTGTTACGGCAACATCATATCTGGGCCTACCACTGGCTGTGAAAACGTCTGAAAAACCTGTCCGTTGTTGTAGGCGCATCACATGGGGTTGTGTTGACGACGTGCTAGGTACATAAATAATTAGTTGACCGATAATATAAGTAATAGGAGGACGGCTTCATTAATCAGTTCACCCATAGGTATCCTTGCTTCATTGTTTCCACATTTTCTACCTATTGCTGAACAGTATTGTCGTTTCCTATTATGCATTCGAATCTCGGACCGATATCAGCCGAGCCCAACCAGGCCTTCCATCCCTCGTGGGTCGGTTAATCGGTACCAGACCAATCTGGGAAGATAGGAGCTTTCATTTGGCAGGTCATTTCATAGCCTACGTACGCATTTAAAACGCCACAACGATTCTGAATGGAAGTCCAGTGCTTGGAAGCATCCCAAATACGGCATTGATCAATGCCAAAGACTTTATCCTTCGCTACTTCGATGTGGGTACATGAATTAGCTCGATGCCTAACGTAGAAAGCTCGAGGTCTTTGTATTCGTTCCAGAATTCGTTCAGCTTCGAAGAGATTCAACCAACTCTCTAGGCTAAAAAAAATTAGTCTAGTGTCACCGTTACCCTCTTTCTACTCCTACCGCGCAGCTAGTCTTTCCCAAGCCCCCTACTAGGATTTGTACGTAAATCTCTCTCGTGATTTATGAAGATCCAATTCGACTATATAGTTACTTGCTGTGTTGTTTTGTTTAAACTATGCACAGCCTTTGACATTACAGGAATCTACCTACCTGCCCAGCAAAAATGATGAAAAGTGAAGGTAAGTGCTGCTCTAGCTCATTTTATTTGGCGACCCAACGGGTACGTCCTCGCATTCTCATCGAACGCAGAAGATATACCGAGATATACTGTGGGAAAAATCCCTGAGACCCTATGCGCTAAAAAGCGGTGCCCAGCTGGTTGAGAAAGATTATAGGCCTTGGGAACTTAGGTTTGCTTCAGCGATCACTCTGCATTTCCTTCATCATAACATCATCACTCAAAATATCCAGTTAAGCACAGATTACTCATTTTCAATATCTAGAAATTCGTGAAAAACTGAAGCCGATCTACGAGGAACTCGAGCAGAACATGACAAAAGGGGATTTGCAAGCAAATTTCAAGCATCTTCACAGTGACTGTGTGATTGTGCAAAAAGGAAAAGAAGCTTACTACGGAAAGGAACGTGAGTCATATTGCTACGGTACAAGCCATTGCCTCTGTACACCAGGCTCGGCAATTCTGCTTTTCTCTAGCAAATAAAATACACTGGAACATGATTTATGCCAAGTTCTAGTCGTTTTCTCTATAAGGTTTGCCTAATTGCGCTATCACATACTTCCATGTAGAAATGGCAAAAGTTTAGATGGTCTTGCTCTTACTCCGCAGCATGCAATCTAGACACAGAATAACTAAGCCTCGAAAGCCTCTATTGAAGTCTAGACTAGGCGGCCAAATAGTCCAGAGCTGGCATTTTCCCTCTTATAACTACAGTGACACAAACTCAAAATTCGGACTTCGAACAGATGAGCTCATATATCCTCTTATGGATGCGCCATGCTTTTGACCTCCACACACCCAAACTTGAATTGGGTACTTGGGGTACTTACAGGCGCTCTCAGCCAGTGCAATGACCTGAATGTCAGCATAGGTACCTTACGGTTATCATCTTTTCTTTGGTCTCCTAGCGGCATATGGCTTAATTAGCCATTACAAGGCTTGATAGCCAAAGACTCGTCGCCTCTTTTCTTCAGCAGAAAAAAGAGTAAAACTAGCTGGCGCACAGCGATTAACTCTCGCTCTTTACAGAGATTGGTAACAAGATGAAGAGTTTTTTCCAAGAGCATCAACCCAAAAACATTAAGGTGAGTTTTGCCCACTTACCTTCTACATTCTGCCCACCTTTAAACATCTGCAAAACTCAAAGTAAATTTCAGAGATCGAAAGCGGTGTATTACGGTTGTGAGTGTTGCATTTGTGTGTCCGTTGAAGTCAGTTTCGATACACCAAAAGGGCCAGCAAAAGTTGATGAGCACCACATTTGGAGAAAGGAGAACAACGATTGGAAATTGTATCATATTGAGTATGAGATGGTCCATTAAAGGTTTATGATTCGCAACACCACAAAAAGGAACGATGCTTAGGAATTTTTCAGAAGGAGAAATTTATATGATGGCTGGCGGGACTGCATCACAGTCATACGGCCTGCAGGGTCAGAAATCGAACTAGATAGAATCGTACTTTCAACACTTAACCCGCGCTTAGTTACCGCGAGACATGCATAGGAGAAAGCACGGTGCAATATGACAACAATGAACAAAGCTGTGTTTCGGTTCTTTGAGAGTTCAACAACGTGCCGACCGACTGACCGCCGACGGCGCTTCTGGCCACGTGTTGACAACCGAGAGAGATTGCGTTAAGAGTCGCATGAGCGGTAACGGTATCGAAAGCAATGTGTCTGTCCTGTGTTGTCAATGCGTGGCCAGCAACGCCGTCGGTCGGTCGGTCGGCATGCCGTTAAAGTCTGAAAGCACCATTTTATGGCACTTCAGTCTATCAGAAATAAATCTCAAGAACACCCGACAATAAGGAGAGGCCACATATCGTCATTCCTTTGAATGATTGGTCATCACCTGCTTCACGAATGAAGTACCTACCGCAATCAAAATCCAACTTCGTTTTGGTACTACTGCCCGGTCCATTTCTCACCATTGAGAACAATCATACCATTACTCGTGAACGTTCTCCTACAGAAACAAGCTTACCACTGTGAAAATACTAAAGATCCTTCTCAGAGATCCCTCGAGCCGTAATTTTAGGCTGTACTCAGGTCAGCATCAAAGTTGAAATTTCAACTGAATCCTCTGACGCCCTTTCTCATATTGATGTAGCAGTAAAACACCTAACACCAAGAAAAGTCCAAAATGTTCGAAAGAAGCCATGATAAAAATAAAATTAGAAAAGAACCTCACTGAAGCCACTTCTCTACCAGTTGTCGAGCAAGAACTACGACGTAGGGAAAAACGCATGTCTCCCGTTCTGTAATCAGGCGAGTAAAAGTCATTGGTTCTCCACGGGAAAGCGGTCATCTCTGACCAAGTTACTGTGGATAGATGCTCTGCTCTAAAAAGTAAACGCGGACAATAGCCAATGGACAACTGAGCCTAATGCTTTTGAAGAACGAATGAATAAACAAATTTATTTGACACAACAATATAAACACAATGGCATCGTGAACGACCCGTATAAAGCTCTTTGGGGAGGAAATTGGCAGCGAATACATTTTAATTGGGCAATCGAAAAATTGACTAGAATCGACGATTTAGATTCATGTAAATATATTCAGAAAAGATGTTGGTGGTCTTTTCCACCAGATCTAGTCACAATGACAAGAAACAATAATCTTCAAACGTGCAAAAGATGTATGTCATTTTAAAACTGAAACGAAACAAGACTTCAGTATATACAAAGAACTAGCTCTGAGCGATTATCGATTCGCCTTGTGACGTTATTGATGAGATGCAATTACGCAAGCACAATATCGTCAGCCTAAAATCAAAAACGTTGGGAGAATCCAAGAAGTCAATAACACATAAACATCATACCGCTCTGGCTTGTGCCATGCTCCGTTGCATGCCCGCTTTAAAATCGACTAGATGTAGTGGATTGAAGCTCGTTGAGACTGATCTAAACAGCCATTTGTCAATTATTGATCCAATTGAGTATTGATTAGGCTTCAACTAAAACTATAGAGGGTTCGAAGGTGAAAGCTCTTTCGCTACTTAGCGTCACGTCACCACAACTATAGTGAAAGCCACAGAAACAATAGTTGGTGCGTGCAAAATTGGCAAGCGTGGCGGTGTGGAAAATGGTTGGTTATCGATGGGGTGATAATGTTCGGACAAGACGACAACAATGTGAGTGATTTAAAGTAAAAAAGTGTGATAACATTTACTGAAATTCTGGTCGATCTGCACTCACAGTTTGCTCTGAATATGTGACCTCTCTGGAAGCGATAGAGTGAGAAGTAGCAGAAGTTAAGTCACGACAGTGTAAACATTAATCTAAGAGTTCGTCCGTAGAGATTTGTATAGTTAAGATCTTTTCATGCTGTGATAGTGACTTTCATAAAAACGCCTACAAAGAATACGTATCGATCGCAGGTGCGTCGTGATCGAACGCACTCATTGTCTCAATCAACACTTCTAATACATTGTCATTTCTTATTGAGGTTTCTTGAAATGCAGATTTTCTATAAGAACCCGTCCCGTAAGAAAATCAATAAACATCGTTATCGATTACCTGTTCAGCAACGGTTTCTCGTGTGACATACGTGACGTGTGTACATTAACTGGGAAATATACCTAAACCGACATGCAATTAGACAACCCACTCCACATCTGTTATTGAAAACTAAGAGACCGCTCGATCAATAAATCAATAAACTAATCAAACCGATTCGGGTTTCGATGACTTAAACTATGCATACAACGGAAGCGTCTTATAGTTTGAACATTCGATGAAAATGTAGTTGGGGGAGGGGTCATCCCTCGTCTCCAACACTAGGCGGTCGAGTACAGGGAAGGAGGGACAGGCGTCTTTGTAGGCCCTAATGGTGTTTCCTCAGCAGGAATATTATGTTAGCATGCAACCGCTTACACTTTTGAAAAGAAAATGAATAAGTGGCCAACTGAATGTTCGATTCTTCTCCCATCCCGGTTTGTTGCACAGGGCAAATATCCCATTCACCCACCCGCTCCCCCCCNCCTGGGGCTCCAATAGAAAACCATATTCCCCTAAGTAAACAACGTTTACAAGCAACATTACACATTCGCGAAGGCGGCTACTCCTCCTTCTTTGCGCTCTGCATCCCATAGTTTAGTGACGAGGGATGTCCTCGTCCCAACTAAGTTTTCATCGAACATCAACTCATCAACTGTGCCAGCGGTGTGGACAGCACAAAGTGAAAGCAAACATAAACTGTGAAATTTTTTGCGTTTTTGGCTGAACATAGTGAAATAGTAAAGGAATATACTTCTTCCATACAAAACTGAAAAATCTCCCCAATCATGTAGAGAATTTTTACCAGTTTTCATTGGAAGAGCATATACTAAAATTGATGGAAGGATGTGATCAGGTGCGAATGGGATAACTGATCCAAACTAGAAAGTCTCGAGTGGTCTCTCTCGCTATGATTAATAAAGATTAGTCGTTCACAGTTACTACACACACACGAAAGCTTTTCTCGAGTTGAGACAGGAGACTGGCAAGAGCTGTCGCGTACGGCTGCGTTGCGACCCTGGAAGAACTCCAATTCTCCGAGGCTCGCTTATATCATTTTTGAATCTTTCGAAGAACTCCAAGAAAAAAATAGTTGACATAAGAGAGTTCAAAAGCTCTGCCTATCCATTTCAGGAACGCATCGCAACCGCATGCAGCTGCACTTGCGCACTCTTTACCTCTCCTCGAAAAGTGTGAATCTACGATAACCTAACCTTCAGAAAAAGCCTAATTAAATAATGTTACGTGAACTAGTTTCCTTCTTAGATCGTATGATTGTGCTAGAATACAATAGGATTTCAAGCTTTTACGAATAATTGTTCACAGTCATTAATGGCTATAAGACGCACCTTTTGAAAGTGATGTCGCAACGTTTTCTTCCGACCGAACATTGCATAAATAGCCGTACGGAACTTCTTGTTCAAAAAACAATAAGTGATCGGATTTGTACACGATGAAATGTAGGTGAGCAATGTGATGAACGTGTTCAAATCCGAGTTCCAGACATTCAGTTCTAGACTCTGTAAACATCGATATCAACCAATGAAATCGAGCTGAAAACACCTCTGAGCCCTCGTGAAGTCTTATTCTGATCAGGGTAACGAAACTGTTGAAATAAAAAATTACTAATTATCCTTATACTTCGAGCAGAAGGGGAAAGGTCAAAGGAGAAAAGCGAAAACGTCGATGTTGGCTCTACGGATATCCTTAGGTCAATGGCTCGTGCTAGGGTTCAATGCCTCAGAAGCTCCATTATGTCGCCAAGGTTTGCCCTTTTTTGTATGGCAACCCTATTTTTGCTTTTGTGCAAATTGCTCGGTTACCGCTCTGAGTACAACATTCCTTTTCACAGAATACTTACTTGTACATTTCCAGTTTCCACATTTGGACGTCCCTTTCATAGGGAAGCTTTCATCCTATCAAATGGCGGCTCGAAATGATACTCAGAAAAGGTCAAAACAGAACAGGTTGCAGCTTCCTACTTCATTGAACCCTACTATAATTTATCCTAAACAACAGGATACTAATCAATGCTAACAACTACGTTTCTCGCATTTCGCTCGACAGTCGGTGCGAAGTATAAAGACAGCCACCTAGAAACTACCAAGTGAGGTAGAACTCCCTTAACCTGGATACTGTAGGCTTACCTTGAAAGAATCTCCAGCCATCAACAACAGCCACCATATATAGGATGGTGTCCAACAGCAGAAAAAAATAATCACAACAACGACTAACATCCTGCAATCACGAACGTCAACGATCATCACCAACTAATAATGCAGAGTCTATAGACTTCGAAGAGAAGAAATTCTATGAATTGACTTACTTAATAACTCGTTGCTTAGCAACGGCACTTTTCTGTATATGCGTAGACCGTAGACTACTCTCCATAGGTGGAATTACAGTCTTTTCGACGATGGTATTGTCCCTGAAAGCTCAAAAGATTTCGTAGCACCGATTTAGCGGCCGAACAAATTCCGATGAGGTGGAGGGTCAGGGGGATATCGAATGCCTCGTTTTCATGGATACTCTAAATATACAGCGAGCGTTGAGCGCGAAGCGTCAAAGCCGCGCTAGAACCGCGTCGCCGTCGACGGTATTTGTGTTGGAGCAACTATTCTGCAGACGGAGGTACTCCATAATGATATTCTTTTCTCACGGAATAGCACGGAAATATTATTAGGAAGGAAATATCATGTCCATATACAAAAAAAGAAATGAAAAAAGTGAATAACACAACCAGTGAAAACTTGATCACGAAATTATTGTTCGTCAAGCCCGATCGACGGGCGGCGTTGTCACGTCACTTAACGCTGTACGCCCAACGCTCTACTGCGAAATATACCAGCTGCGGCCTTTTACTCTGATTGCGCTCGATGCTAATTGGGACCCATTCGGCTTTTTCATGCGTGTAAAATGCAATAAAAGTATGACACAACACAATATTCACACTAGCAATGCTTAGGACGTCATCTCAAAACCAATCCATGATAATATTATCTGAATGGGAGAGCGCAGAATAAAGCAGAAATACATTCTCTATTCTCCAGCCCCTTCAAGAGAACTACGAGGAGCTCTTAAAGTTGACTAAATATCTCACCTGGACTTGATGGATCTGTTCTTCTTACTGGACTGAAACTTGGCTTTGAAGCTTTGAAGAACGGTGCGCTTCTGTGGCAAGTCTTCTTTGTCATCGGTGCTGTCTACAACTACCATAGCTGTAGGCGCTTGTTAAATAACATTGCCTGCAATCACACAAAACTCCACCCACTTTCTTGATCTATGGAATCGACTGCAGCGATTTCAAGGCGAATCCCGAGTCTTAACGTACGAATAACTGATCCATACAAGACTGTCATAATTACCAATGGCACTGCTAGCAACACGATCGTCATGTATACCTGGAAACGAATGATACCCAGGGTAATCGATAACCAATCAATTTCATACCTGATTGGCGAAATGGTATAAAGGTTTGTGAATTGGTGAGCACATAAGACCGTTTCCATTATAAGGCCTTTCTTCGTACATGAATAACATCAGTACATTCGCTGCCAACGCCACTACCCATACCAACATAATCATCGCATACGCGTGCGATCTGTAAGAATCGATTAGCTGTCGCTGGCGAGCGCGCGATTCTTGCTGAGACTATGAACGTTCACTTACCTGGTTTGCCATATTCGTGAATGTAGTGGGCGGCATATAGCGTAGTATCGTTCAAAGGCTATCACAGCCAGTGTATATGCAGACGCCGTCACAACCATGGCTTAAAATAGATATGAAGTATTTAGCGATAATGAGGACTACTGTATTGGGGACCTTGCGAGGAAACCGATAAAACCTACGTTGCAAGTAGGCGAATACTTTGCAAAGGGTGTTACCAAAAATCCAACAATTCATCACCATGGAAACTAAAAAGTTCATCGCATTATTACGGGCCATTATCGATTAGCAAGCCGGAAAAATCAATAAACCCGCGAGCGACTCACAAAGTGTTGGCGGCATACATACAACGGAAAGCATCAGATCAGTGATGGCTAGGTTCAAAAGATAGATGTTCGTGATTGATCGCATTGCTCGTTGCTGAAAAAAAAGCTGATGAGGTTTCTGAAGTGTCACTGAGTAAAAACAACATGTCGACCATAACTCACCTGCATAATGACCACAATGACCAGCGCATTACCGATGACTGATAGCAGGAAAATCGTAATGAACGTGAAAACCACAACGTAGTTCTCCGTAGTACCACGAAATCTGCACGTTTCTTCGACGGTGAGACTGGAAAGAAGTGGATTCTTTAGTAGCAGTGGTGTCAGTGAAGTAGTGCACGCCAGGAATTTCTCTGAGTACTACGATGACCTTGACACCTACATAGAGTTTCACATCCCCCCCCCCCTTTCCCCTACGACGAGGGACACATTCGTCATTTCTATAGATTTCCCAATCGATCCATGCTTGATTCTTGTTTCTGGATTGGGTGGGTCCTGATTTATGCTGTCCTCAGGCATGGGTTAGATTGTAGATGATACCCAAAACCAATCAACTAGCTTATTTGGCCACTGCCATCCGCTGGTAGGTGTGACGAAAGTAGAGTTATCAGAGAAAGTGTAAAAAAATTATAAAGCTTAACCAAACAATTCGCCTCTATGAATTATCAGCAACGACTTTTTTGGGTGAGAATAGGAGCTTGAAACTCACACATGAGTAAGACTCTTCTACACTGGAGCAAATTTCCTACTTACTACCGCAAGTAATTTGGCCCCTGCCACGATCAACACAAATTATTGCATTCCCAATTCCCGATGTTTGATGAGACCGATAACGGCACTCGCCAAATGTCATATTACATCCACACAGCATTCTCAAGCACGTGCGGTTCCTCGCTCAGTCGCAAGAAATTTCCGGATCTCCGAGCTGACATTACGTGATGATTGATAACTCTCTGGGAGAGTGGCAGGTCAGAGAAGCTCACCTCAATTACATATCTCATCCAGAGAGTCATCCTGGAGCAATAGGACAACGATTTTGATAAAGATAGAAAAGTCTTGGGGCGTTGATCAATCCCGTCTGATGGGATAGATGCGCCCACGTTCCCGACTTCCATTCAGAATCATAGTAGCCTATTGAATGCCTATGTGGCCTATACAATGATTTGCTGTGGACAACCGATGTAGAAGTCAGTGATTTTATCCTCCCAGACAAATCTGGTACCAATTAACCGACCCCGGAGAGATGGAAGCTTGGTTGGCCTGGGCGGATAGCGACCCAGGATTTTTCAAACCGTGAATGTGGGTGTGAGATCGTGCGCTATTTGCAAGACCAGGGTAAGAAGCCATATCAAATTTCAAAGTTTGCGAGAAGTGTAATTTGCAAAAACAACACAAGAAGAACAAAAAAATTATGTAGTTTTGAGGTGGAAATGGGCAAAAACTCATTCTCAGAGAAGGGTGTGTCTGACAGCAGTAGCCCGCTGCCGCCAACTTGGTAATCTCCCCAAATGGTTCGTCTTGCCATATTTACTGCAGTTTGAAATATCTTCTTCCCCAGTAAAGTCACGTCTCATCCCTTCAACCTATCCTAGAAAACGCGATTTTTGCATGAGTTTATCTCCCAGGTTAACCTACTTTATCGAAAAATCTTATCTCGTGCTCTGCAACAATCACAATCCAATTTTTCATGAATGGTGGAGGGGTACAGCATTTCCTCGACCGATAATAGAGTGAAAGCTTGTCTGCAGCATTCTCAATCGAATGTTTACTTCGTTCAATACTATGCGACTTTAATTTGCACCCCAATACTGTCCATTCTGCATTAAAGATACTTTCTACCAAGGATGAACCTAGGGAGAAATCTCAGAAATAGTTTTTACCATAAATTGTGTCTTTAATGTGGACCCTAATGATAGCAAGTGGAACATTGTAGGATCGAAAAACGACTTTAACAGTACGTTAGAGGGGCTCCGAAACCGGCTTGGCCGACGTATACACCCAGAAGAGGCCGTGTTATGACGGCCTAGTTAGGGCTGCAATGGTTACAGTGAAGCGTTAGAACGCCGACGAATAGCACGCTAATGTGGGAGAGACCCGATCTCGTACAACTCCCTTTCTTACTCCTTTTTTGAAGTTCGCCGACTGTTGAACTTCCCTTGCCTTTTCTGCACTTGCCAAAGTGAAGGGCAGAAGATACCGCAGATAGAAGGACTGGAGGCAGTTGATAGGACTAACGCTAGGGAGAAGAAGAAAACGAAGATGAGGTTCGAAGACCATGCTCCTTTGAAGGTACTTCCCTCTAGTACACTCCCGTTCAAAGAATTTTTTCCAGTAGATACACAAAGGCTTTGAAATCCATCCCAATTCCCTGACTACCAGCCGGCTGTCAAGAAGGCTCTGTCTCAGAATGCCAACAACAACAGCAGTAATGGGCGGGGTAAGATTTAAATCACTGCATATGTCAAAATATGTACATGTTGACATAAGCCATGCATGCATATGCATCAGTACACTTGGCCCACACAATATGTACGTATACCAGTTATGACGATGACATCATCTACCTCACGATATTTCCAGCTAACTCCCACCAACAGGAAATGTGGGTGGTGAAGGTTGTTGTTGTTAGTTGAGCTGGAATTAGACCGGTAATGGCCGACAAACATTTTGCGACACTGGACAGATTCTGATGGGCCGAAGACCAGATGATATTGGACGCAGAAGAACATCGCCGCGCGGGAACAGGCGATACAGGCCCAAGAGTCAAGAGAGGGTCATTGTTATTCCATTAATTTTCGCTGGTTGTTGTTTTGTTTACCCGGTTTGCTGCTCGTTCAAGTACCCAGGTTTGAGGTATAAACGGATTTGATTGTGGTTGTTATCAACTCAACTGCTACTTCAGTGGCAGATAATGTCCCCAAATGGGGAAGGGGGGAGGGGATCTCCGAATTTCGTCGTCTGACTCAGAGAAAATTCTTCTGGAAGGAGCTCCTTAAGTGTAATCCTGTGGAGCTTCCGAATGAGCTTAGCGGTGCACTCTGATGATGTCATGATAACATCGGTTTCATCTTGAGGATACAGCAAGTCATACTGTAGACCAAGCAAACCCTTCCGTAATAACTTTGGCATGCCGAATACGTGGCGTTTTCTGTTGGACGAGAAGAAAAGGGCAGGGACTATTTCATACTTTGCTTTCCTCATTCTATATGGCAAGGTGTTGAACCCGCTACTTCCTATTCCTCCCAGAAAATTCTCTCAAGTGAAACCCCGAACCCTCTTAGTAGGTTTAAGCTTCAGCTGTAGTCCTGTTTCTTTCGGAGACAGTTTGGTGCTGACGATTCCCGGAAGCCCATAGGCTATTGAGAATCGGCTTTTGCCAAGAAAACGAAAGTTCTTTGATAGTTCTGTAGGGCTGTGGATTGATGAAAGCCCATTATCACGCTGTGACGTGCTGAAGAGGTCAACAAGAAAAATGAAAGAACTATGTTCAGAGAAAAAGTTCATTTGGCATTCCATCCTCTGACTCTAACGGCCCTCTACACTTCCTGGAGCTTCCTGTGAAAAGCTCAAGAGAAACACACGAAATCCTTGAAAAGCGCTTCATTTCCGCTGTGGTATTTCCGTGTCCAACTTTGAGGCTCTGGTTTAATTTAAAGAGTAAGTAATGGTGAAGCTGTAAATATTTTGCTATGACATCTTACAACAGCTTTCGAAAATGGCTCAAAATTGATAGGCAGCGTTCAGTATAACCGATTCTTCGTTACATGGTCTGAACCTCCATCAATTTAGACCCCAAATTTCAGAAGGACATAGAATTTGTCCAGCTGAAGGCTAATTAAAGGTGACAGCTTTACGGTAGTTTTTCGAAACCTATCACCGTTTTCTTCAACGATGACCAGCTGACATAGCTGTAGTACTCACTATTACAGTATTAAATGAGGGTAAAAAAGGGAGAAAGCCTTTGGCGAGTGTCGATCCCATTTTGGGATGCGCCTCGCATCCGACTCCCATTCAGAATCGCGGTGGCGTAATGAGGGCGTATGTGGCCTATACAATGACTTGCAGTGGCCAGCCGATGAACAAGTCAGTGGTTTTATCTTCCCAGACGAGTCTATTACCAATTAACCGACCCCTGAAGGATGGAAGGCTTGGTCGGTTAGCAGATCCTGTCCGTGATTCGATCCACGGACCATGCGTATGTGATAGTACGCCCTCTGCCGCACTATACCATCCCGATCCACATGATAAAATGAAGTGACTAGTATAACCACAATATGAAGCACTACCACTCGAGAAAAGAGTGGGACGTTCGTAATCCTTCTGACGGTAATAACAGAGGTGGAAGAGCAGAGGACGAGCCACTTTCGCTTAATAAAGTTTCGATTATGTCTGCGACCTCACTGTTCCCCTGAACATGTACACCTATGCAGTCCACGGGGATGTTGGCTCCGTGACTCATCACCGGGTAATATAAGCTTCCCCTTCAGCGACTATTCGCAACTTTTTCGAAAGGCTACATATACCCATGTAGTTGAACGGTATGACACCATACATCTAAAATTCAGACAATTCCCAATGATGTAGCATCTTTGCAACAAATAGGTATCCTGCCAATCCCACTTTTTCATCTTCATGCTTCGTTTTCTCATTAAACCTGAGTTCCTAACGTTTCCCAATTTCCGTCCCAAATCCATGGTTTCACATCATCGAATATTGGTTGATCCAAAAAGATCATTCAATCAAGCCACTTACTTGGCAATCGATACACCTGGAGCGGTATCGTTGAGCATAATGACACGAATATCATCGTCGCCAGGTGAAGGTAATGTGGCCGACGATGTCATGGCCGCTGTCAACATCTGTGTAGCGAATGTGGACGTGGACGCGGCCAACGTGGATGCTAACGACGTCGACGTCGACGCCGACGGCATCAACGTCGTCTGAGTGGGCGTGATCGAGTCGTTGACGAGTGGACTCTCGACGTACGCTGACACGGACCAATCGGTCAGGTTCATACTGAAAAGCTACTCAAAATGTATCTGCATGAAAGAACGACACAACCGAGCGATACGAACGACGAAAACCGACGGTGTTTATACTATCTGACTGTAGTAAGCGAAAGTGAGAAAGATGAATACTGGGTAGGAAATGAAGGAACGAATAGAGGGATGTGTCACCTGACGAAATTGCAATAAAGCATAAAAAAGTGTTGAGCTGTTGTTTGTAACATCAACAGGAGCTCGACTCATGTCAGACAAGAGGAAAGCGCTGTCCGACAAGCCTTCGCTTGAAAATAGGCGGTATTACATCGTGTAATGTTAGTTCAAGAGAAAGAAGCATATCACAAGAATTTCAAAGTAATCGATTGGGCATACGGTAAGGTACTGAAGGTAGATCTTATTCTAAAAGTATTAGGTAAGGTAGGGTTTTAAAGGCATACGGTAGGTCTTTACGACTACAGAATGAATCCATACTACCTTGAATTGGCTCCCTGCTATGATAGTTAGACTCCAATGGGTTTGGCCCTAATACAGCCCCAGCATTACGGTATTAGGGAATAACAGCTCAACTGGACAGATTCAGTACTTGACTTCTTCCACTAACGAATCTCATGACCTGTCCCAGGAAGCAAATCAAAATGTATGTGGGCGAATAACAGCTAATTGCAATATTCAGGAAGGATTTTGTGGGGAAAATACCAACAGGCAAAACAATCCGCTCCGGGAAAACATCAGAAATCTCGATCGCATCTAAATTTCCGTTAACGAGAGAGTATTAAATGCCATTTTGAATCTCTTCTGCAGCCTCTCAACGGTAATGTCTTGATCAGTTCGCTATATTCATTTGAGTCGTAGGACATAGACATAGGAGGACAGAATTGTTATCGTTGTTATTGTCGGTGTAAATGAATTAGTTGTAAATAAATAAGTGAATAACAAATTAATTGAAATCAACATTTTTAGAGTAGATGAATGCCAAAAGTGATAGGATTCTCCATACA